GGGGGCACCACCTGCGCCCAAACGCAACATATCTATTTCCCATCGCAAATAAGTCCACTTTTTTCTGAATACGAACGTCACGAGACGCAGAGGCCATGGCTTTGGCTGGTCTGGGCCGGACTGGGTGGCAGCAGGGGGTTGGGGGCTCCAGGCTCCATACCCAATCAATCTCTTGGCGCAACGCGTCGGCCGTGCCTTCGTACCGAACGTGAGTAGATATAAACAGAGGGCCGAGCCGAGCCGATGCGCACGTGCTCGGAGGTTGTGCGTGGGGTAGCTTGGCGGTCGCAGCGGATCCTTGCGCGGTCCTGGTGTGAGGTACGCGATTCAAGTCCCCGAACGAACTCCTGCTCCATGTATGTTCCGTCTAGCACAAGGGTAGGGATTTCAAAGTACGAAATTTTTCCAGTAAAATTCAAAACTTTGGAAAAAAGTGGGAAAAAATTTGAAATGTTTCCAGAAAAATTGGGGGGAAATAAAACTCCTATGTAAAATTGAGAGATTTTTAAAGATTTTTTTGTTTAAACCTCTCAATTTTAACAGAGGAATTTCGTTTCCCCCCAATTTTTCTGCAAACATTCCATTTTTTTTTAATTTCCTTGAAAAGTATTAAATTTTGTGCCTTCAAACCGTCGGTCGAGGCGAGGGGTTGAGCGCCGGGGGAGCTTTCGGACCTGAAGAGAACGTTTGTTTAACCTCTGTAGAGTCAGCAGACCATTGCATTGTTTTTCCGCATCTGTGAAGGTAACATAAACCTAACTTTCAAACAAGATAATAGGAAGAGAAAGTGAACAAAACCCTAGCAAAAACAGATTTTTTCTAAAGATTTTGAAACACAACATTAGTCGGAAAGGAGACGGAAATATAACTAAATTAATAACACTCTCATACTCTCGTAGCAGCTGACACACAGACCCCCCCACACCCACATACACTCTCACGCATCCACCAGAAATAGGCAACAGATTTTTTTCTTTTTAAATACTGCGTCAATGATAGCGTCGCATAGACTTTTGCTCTCATTTCCAGGCCGTCGCTGTTAAACTTGGTATCGGGGCCTCCGATTGTGCTCACGGACACGTGCGCGTGGACCAGCCTGACCGAGCCGCCCCACCCCGCCCCGCTCCGCGCATCGCGCGCCCTCGCCGCTGCTCCCCACATCACAAGTTTGTCAATGGTCCACGCCGAAACTTTGACGTGTTTATCGCGCGAGTCACTCGAGAGTTCCCGATGCGGACCAACTTCCGAGGCCGGCCAGGCTAGCCAAAGCGGGGGCGCGGCGGGGAGAAAAGGGTAAGGGAGGAGGGGGGGGGGGCACTGAAAATACAACAAGAGGAGGGTTCCATTATTAGAGGGATAGTATAAGATTTCCCAATAAAAACGGAATTCCCCCACTGGTAAAAAGATTGTTGCAGTTGCTGGCGACAACCAGTTACGGCAACACACTATCAATTTACAGCCAGTATTCCAATACCAACATTAAAGGTAGTCGAGTTCATAATAACAAAAAAAAAAAAAACAAAAAAAAAAACATTGAAGCAAATTTGTTAAGCTAGACAGTCATTCCCGGTCATTCCAGTCTGCGTTGCAAGCGGGCGCGAAACTGGCTCGCTAAACCGATTAACACAGATCCCATTATACATATTTTTTTTCGACCTCGTGTGTGTGTGTGTGTGTGTGTGTGTGTGTATCCCACCCGCGCCAGCTCTCTGTCTGATCGGCTTCCATCAACGCCACGCACGCACGCACGCACGCACGCACGCACGCACGCACGCACGCACGCACCCAATGCAAACGAAAGCGTGTGGATGTCACAAACTTTAGGTGTGTGAATGCCTATTCGTGCACTTTAGGTGCGTAAAAATGCCCATTTAATACACTTACAGGAGGAACGGTGTAAATTTTTCATCGAAATCCAGTGCGCATTAAAATTTGTGCTTACATCGTGTACACTGGTAAAACAAGTGTTTAATGTTGCACGTCAATTGGTGTTTAAGTTCAAGTGTGCATTTTCTCGACACGTTGTGGTGTCTAACTAGGTTAAACGTCAACTGGCGTTTAAACTTTCGACACTTCCGAAAAGTTCCCATATGGTTCCTATTGAGATCATAGAACTGTGTGCAGAATTTAAACTTTAGCAAACGTTTAAAATTGCACACCATGTAATGTGCAACATCATAACTTGCACACTTTGGTGTTTAAATTATGCACACTTGTTTTACCAGTGTACGAAATGGCGTTCACACGTCTTCACACTGGAAATGCAAGTGTGTGAATGTCGCTCACCTGCAGGTGAGCGACATTCCGTTCGTACACTTAAGGGGGTAAAGGTGTGAATTTTTCCTAGAAAATTCACACGTTTACCCCCCTAAGTGTACGAACGGAATGTCGCTCACCTGCAGGTGAGCGACATTCACACACTTGCATTTCCAGTGCAAGTGTGCGATATTCACACACTTGTGCGCTGCCGGCGGACGGGACGCCCACAGGACACCATTACCCTGCGCGTCCCCAACTCTTTTCCCCTCCGCGGCGGCGCTGCTCTTCCAACTCCACCGATCCGGAACCTGACGGCGCGGGGCAGCGGGGCGACAGAGACAATAAATCCAAGGTCCGCCGAGGCATCTCTAACGCGGCGG